CTCTGTTCATGGTACCAGTGTCAGAGTCCTGGTTCTGATGTTGTACTCTATTATATGCAAGATGTTGTGATGGGGGAAAGCAGAATGAAGGGTGAGTGAAACTTCTCAGTATCTTTTTGCAACATTTTGTGAGAATACAATTATTCAAAATATAAAGTAAAAAGTAACCCTCAAGCAGAGCTATGAGATATTTAAAAAATAGTAGCATGAGATTTGGCCCCTCTGGTAACCCTCAAAGCACCCAGCAATACGGGCTGCTGCCTGCCAGGTGACACCCATGAACTCCAGGACTCAGCAACCGATGCCTGAGAACAAAGCAGCAAGGAACCCACCAGAGGGCACTACCCGCCCCCAGACCCATCAAGCTTGCATCCCCACCACCCTCCAGTAAGGAACTACATTTCCAGAGCCTGTGCTGTTGGGTTTAGTGTTCTATCCTGATTCTAGCTGAGGCCTGGCACTGACGAGAAACTACCAAGGCGAGCTTGTCCTCTCCTGGACCATCCAATTCTGGCCCAGACCAGGCGAACGCAGGCCACCAACAGAGATTAAGGCACAAAAATTGTTCTGGAGCTGAGATTTGTTAAGACCCTACTCACACTTAGTCCCACCTGTTTATCTAATTCTAATCTACTCTATGGATGAGCAAGAAAACAGCTCCAGGACCACTGCCCTTAATATGCAAGGCAGATGCAGCCAGCTGCTTTCCCGAAGCCTCTTCCTCACCCCCAGCACCATTTGCTTTCAGCTGTTTAGAGGAGCCTGCCTTCCATATGCACACGTGTCCCAGAGGCCAGGGACAGCAGAGGCAGTTTGGGGCATCCCGGGCTCACTCCCTGCAACTACCATCCTCCACCTTGGGCAGAACCCATAGATGTCAACAGAACAGACAGAAGGGGGTTATAACACAGAGGTTAAGGAAAAAAATATTCAAAATGAAAAGATTGTATATTTCACGATGAAGCTTTGGCTTTTTCCTCAGCTCATTTGCCATTCTACAATGAAGTGTCTAGAGGAAACATTTATCTCTGCCCTCATAGCCCGGGAACACCAACTCTCATTAACTTTCCAATTTCATTCTTTCAGAAGATCCAAGTTCAGATAATCCAATTTATATGTATTAAAAATTACTTGAGGCAAGTGTCTAAGGAACTCTCTCCTCTCACCACCACCACCCCGCCCCCAGCAGTTTTCAAATTACATAAGAAGAACTACTTAAAAAATGCAATCCGCCATCTTTTATTTTGGTAGGCGATTCCGAGCCACTTGCCTGGTAAGTGACAAAGAAGTTCTCGAAAATAGAGGTTCTCCACCACAGGTGAATTTGTCCTCCAGGACACATTTTGGCAATGTCTGGAGACATCTTTGGATGTCACAATTGGATTTAGGGGTAGGGGGTGCTGCTGGTATCTGGGGGGGTCAAGGCCAAAGATGTGGCTAATATCCTACAATGCACGGGACAACTCCCACAAAAAAGGGTTATCTGACCGAAAAAGTCAGTAGTGCCAAGGTTGAGAAAACCTGTCTTAGAGTTCTCTACAAGTTGACTACATACAACATTTATCATTCAATTCATCAAACAATCACTTGGAACTTAGCATAACCTCAAAGCATTGTGCTAGACCCTGAGGCTGGGAGCCTGCCTTACAGCATCTAGTAGAGGGATGGCAAAGGTACAAAGAAAATACAAGGCAATATAGAGCCTGAGTGAAAACAAAAATCTGCAGAGGGAAGGCTAGCCTCTGAGGATGAGACTGGGGGACAGGAGGAATTGATGTGACTTTTCCCAAGACAACTACAAACTGCATGTTCACTCTCAAATATAAAATTCAATCACAAATATAGAATAAAAATAACCGCTAGGAAAGATCACCAAACCCCTAAGAGATTTTGAAGCAATCTGTCTTTTTTTTTTTTAAGTTTATTTATTTTGAAAGAGAGAGAGGGAGCTGAAGGGGCAGAGAGTGAAGGAGAGAGAATCCCAAGCAGGCTCTGCACCATCAGCACATAGCCGGATGTAGGGCTTGAACTCATAAACCAGGAGAGCATGACCTGACCTGAAAGAGTCAAAAGCTTAACCAACTGAGCCATCCAGGTGCCCCTGAAGCAATCTATTTTAATGTTTTTATGTATTTCTTTGTGACTTTGTTCCCTATTAAGATTATTCTCCTGGGCACGTCTAGATAGCTAAGTCAGTGAAGTTATTCAACTCTTGATTTCAGCTTAGATCATGATCTCACAGTTCGTGGGATGGATCCCCATGGCCCTGGCCCCTAGGGCATCTGAGAAACTGGCACCAGAAGGAAGTGTAAAGCTTAAAGCAAGGGTGCCTGGGTGCCTTAGTTGGTTAAGCGTCATGATCTTGGTTTTGACTCAGGTCATGATCTCACAGTTCGTGGGTTTGAGCCTGGCATCAGGCTCTGTGGTTACAGTGCTGAACCTGCTTGGGCCTCTCTCTCTCTCTCTCTCTCTCTCTCTCTGCCCCTCACCCCCCAAAGAAATACAATTTTTTTAAGATTATTTTTCTAACAATATTTTTCCAGTATCAAGATGTTTTATTTCCTTCTCCTGCCCTTTGTTTATTTTTTCTATCTAAACTTTTAAAACATCAGTAAACATTCAGGTGCACTTTCCTAACTGTCTGTTCATTGGCCTCTTTTTTTCAATACTGAGTGCCAAATACTGAGCAGGGACGATTGTCTCCATACCTCCTTCTCCCATTCCCCAAGCTGAAAGAATCCCAGGACCACACAAAGGTGCTTATGAAGGAGTAAAATGAGCAAGACAGAATGGTCTTTCCTCAGGAAAATGGGTGGCCAGATCAAAGAGGGTTTGATCAAACAGAAGTGCACCTTAGATTAGATTTGTAAGGCAAAATAGCCTAGTGATCATTTCCACAGCAGATACCACAGACAATCACATATCTTCCAGGTCAGCAGTGTGGATGATAAAACTGTCTGGAACACCATCATTGACAAATGTGAGCTCATAGCTAAGCTGAAATTAAAACCAGTTATGAAACAGAATTATCACATACCATATGCCTGCACACAAAATATTCCAGGCCCTCTTACAAATTAAATCATTAACATACATCTTTGAGGCTCTACTTCATGAATACTTCTGCACAATACTGGGCTGTAATTTTTTGTTTGTTGTTAAGTCTGGGCTTGAATCTTGACTCTACCCACATGATAGAGTGGGACCTGGATAAGTTCATAGAACCTCTCTGAGTCTATATTTTCCCATCTGTGAAATGAGGAAAATCATAGTTCTCTCTCAAGATTGTTGTTTATTCAATTGGTCTAAGTCCTATCAGGAAAATACAGATCATGTCAGTAATTTTCACTGGGACAGCGAGGAAGCAGCAACCACCAGGAGGGTTGGGAGAGCAGGGGGCAGAAGTTGGAGTTGCCAGAAGTTGGAAGCTGCAAAGAAGGACGCTGTGAAGCTGAGGCACAGATTGCTGGGGAAAGGGAGACAGTTTCTGCAGCAGAAACTATTGTCGCAGAAGCTTAGGAACCCACAGAGATGAGCCTCAGCTCATTCTGGGAAGGTGTAGAAGACAGCTGGACACTGGAACCTATTGCCACTGCCAGGGTGACAGGCCATTTCCAGGTGACATTCTTAGGAACTAACAAGTATGCAAGAAGGAGCAGATTCCTTCCCTCACTCAGCCTCAGTCTCCCTCTGGCACTTCTGCTGGTGGGTGGCAAAGGAAAAGCATAATTACAGAGAGCCCTGGTTTACGCAGCACAGTTTGGAAGACTGGATCTGCAGCTGAGGAAGAACAGCTTAACTCATGGCCCATTCAATCCATTTGTTCCCTATAGGTACAGGGTGTTTTCCATGCAGCTGACTGCAGGGCTCTGCTCTACACACTAGGGAGTCGGGAGGATGAAACAGAAAACTCTTGTAAAGTGCACAACTCGTTGACCATTACAACTTAGACTCTCAGTTAAAATCAGTTCTCTCTCTCAGGCCCAGTGGGAAACAAAAAGAAAGGACATAGAAACCAAAACAAAACAAAAACCCAGCTCCTTTCTTTCAGGAGCTTCCAAGTTTAGATTGAGTGCTGTAGGATGAATCCAAGAGCAGATTACAAAGTAATATGTGTTGGTACATTTTGAAATAATATTTCAGACAACTGTTTTAAGAATTTGGAGAAGCCAAAAAATATTTGGGGGATGGTCAGGGAAACGCTCACAAAAAAGATGGGAATGAGCAAGTCCTCAGTATTTAGACAACAGCAAAAAGGGTGAGACCATTACATGTTAGAGAAAGCACATTAGCAGGTAACTTGGCAGGAATTTGCTGGGTGATTACCTGATCTCAAAACATGGAGGATGAACTAACAATGTGGGGTATGGAAGGTGGGGCCAGTAGGACATTTCCTGACTTTATTCTGAGGCATAAATGAACTTCTGGAGATTTCTGATGAGCAGAAGTGCAAAAGATATTATCTTTGCAGTCCCTATCATATCTAGCACAATACCTCACATATAATGGAATATTTGGGAAAAAAAATATTACATTGAATGAGATGAGATGGCATGAAATTACAAAGGCAGGTCTTAACTTTGAAAATTTGTATAGATTTCCCTCTGTTTTAATTATAATAATGCTTTGTGAAATGTTTAGAATAACCAATAAGCAATTTTAAGGCCAAAGGTTCAGGAACTAAAAGAATTCAAGTAACGATAAAAATGTCAAGTCGGATTGTCACCCACCCATCAAGACACCGTGCTCATTTCAGATTGACAGCCTTCCATTGGTGAACATCGCGTTGACCAATATTGGCTTTGGAGAGACTTGGAGGGATTATTGAAAACACTCTGAATTTATGCAAAAAAAAAAAAAAAGTGCTGGGCAACATGGTGTTGAATCCATTTTAGTGATTCATGTAGGAGAAAAAAAAATATCATTCGTGTGAATTCTTAATGTGAGTTTGCAGAGTATACAATGTACTCACACCTAATCTGTTGTGTTCTTCTTGGCAGATCCACTACAAGATTTTGGCTTTTCTGTTGACCAGTGTTCTAAACACTTGAAGTCAAATCTCAACATTAGGATTGGAATCGTTCTGAGTAAGTGAAGATTATTGACATGAAATGAAACATTGTACCATCTCTTCCTGCTCCACACAACCCCATTTCTTGCATTAACTCTAGTGGCCAGCTAAGCCACTGTTGCCCACCATTCTGTGGGATTAACTCTATTTCCATCTCTATTTTCACTTCTCTTCCTGAGTGATATCCAGACACAGTAGAACTCTCACTGAATGCTGTGCTTTTGTACTGAAAAGACTCTAAGCATTCATTTGGATGATATAAGCACCTGGAATCAGTATATCCAACAGCAACAAAAGATAACGTCAAGCCTAAATATTGATGTCTATGCAGGAAAGAGCTTTTGCTTTGTTATCCCAGCAGCAAACAAGTCAACCTCCAGCAGCATAGCTTATATTTGCTTTATTTCATTTCCCAAAGAGTTAATGTGATTTCTGAAACTTGTGACAAAGGCAAATACCTTCTCCCTCCACCCCAATCAATGAGCTAGGTAGCTGTCTGATTGTTTGTTTTTATTTAGCTATGCCTTTAACAGTTAATCATTATATTGCTATAGCTACTAGAGTATCTCCTTTCTAAAGTGGTTTTTATCAAAGCCAGAACAGAAGGATTCAATAAACTTCATGTGTGGAACCATTCCAGAGAAATGGAGGGAACATTGCTGGGGACCAAGAACTCTCATGCATCTTCACATTTCTGGAAACTTGCACAATATCTGGATTCTATAGCAGCAGCTGAGTAAAAAAGAAATGGAATGAGAAGTAGGTGCAACCTAGTAGGGAGAAATGGAGGAAAAGACGCAGAGAATTAGAAGCCAACACTGACAAGCACCCTAAAGCTTCCTGTATAACTGTGATATAGTATTTACCTAACAACTGTGGGGGGTGACCAAACCCCACCACCCTCAGGGGAGGCACACAATACGATGCAGCTGAGGAGCTGTAGAAGCCAGAGCATCAGGGCTGGGGAGCACAGAGAGTGACTACCTTGCTCCAAAAAGAGAACGTTCATAAAAGGGTCACAGTTCATACCGAGGGCTTCTGCCATTATCCCCTGTAGCTTTGCCTAAGTGTTGTTTTACAAATAAATGAATAAATAAATAAATAAATAAATGGAAGGAGAGAAGGAAGGAAGGAAGGAAGGAAGGAAGGAAAGAAGGAAGAAGAGAAGAAAGAAAGAAAGAAAGAAAGAAAGAAAGAAAGAAAGGCAAAGAAAGCAAGAAAAAGGAAGTTAGGAAGGAAGGAAGGAAAAATGGAAGGAGGGAAGGAAACTTTCCCCATACAGAGCAGACTTCTGGAAATAAAGGCCCTTCTGCTCATGCTTCTATAAACGTTGAATGCTTTGATACACAGCGAAACCCACACTAACAATAAAGCTGGTCTTCTCTTACCTTTAAGGAGAGGACATCAAAGAGCTGTTTCTTGACATAGCTCTCTTCACTAAAGGATCGTCCATTTTGAATTTCTCCTATCCCATCTGTGAAGAGGACCTACCGAAGTTTTCCTTCTGCGGGAGAAGGAAAGGGGGTAAGCCGTGTGACTTGCAGAATGCTTGCTTGGGGTCTAGAGAGGGATGAACAATGGCTTCCAGTTGAGGCTGGAGTCCTGGTTCCACCCCTCACCTTTGGACCAGCTTAACCTTGCTTAACAGCATGTGTTATATGAAAACAGCCCTAAAGCCCATTTCACAGGACCTACCATATACAGTGTATGTGAAAATCAAATGCAACATGCTTCTGAGGCACTTTACAAACAGAAAAGTGTTGCTGTTAGCGGTGGCACCTTATCAAAAAAGGGCTGGCAACAGAAAGAGCCAATAGCTTTGCCAAATCCACTGAGATTCAAAGTATCTCCAAGTTTCTGCTCAGTGATCTCCCAGTAAACAGGGTCTACTCAATAGGTCAATGGACTCCGAGAAAAAGAAAAAAAAAATGAAGCTTTCTAAATGGCACTATTTTATTGTGGTCTTGCCCACTCGAGTCATTGACTGAGTGAGTCATTGACTCCTCCCTAATGCAGCCAGGGTAGTCTTTTCTCAAATAGAAGGTCTGATGGGGCTGGAGAGGCAGGCTAGACCCAGCCAGATGAATTACTCCCTCTGGATGTTCCTGGAGCATCACACTCTACTTACCTCAGCTAGAATCGTATCCCATACCTCCTTAAACCATGAACTCCTTGAAGGCAGGAATATTTCTTGCTCCTCTCTCTGGAGATTTGGCAAAGAGAGCCTGGCACAGAATAAAGATGCGATAAATACTTGTTTTATTGAATTTTTATATGACAGATTGAATGTAAGTTTACCAGCTCCCCTTAAAAGTGATTCTCTAATAATGCTTATATGTGCCACAAAGATACAGGTGCACCATATCCTAGCAAAGGGTGAATTGTCTTGATCCTTCAAGTTTAATAAAACCTGGTTTTTCCTCCTATGAATAGTTTTAATAGAATTAATAAAATAGAAAAGATATTGTTCTCCCAAACTGAGGTGTCCAATTCAGTGTAAGAGCTCAAAAGGCTGGTGTTTACCTTATCTGAATGCCGGGCAGTCCTGCAGTCATTTATTTGCTTTATTGCCATGGGCTGAAACCTGCATACTCAGTCTGAGAAGCTGGCATTTGAGGAATTGCCAGGAAATTTCACATCATATAAAGCAATCAGAGAAGTGATATACAAATGCGGCATGAACAAATAATTATGCAAATTATATAAGCCAGAAAAACTAACACCTTAAATTTTGAGGCTTCTTGGGTTATTACTTTTTTTTTCCAACCCACCCACAAACCTATTGCAGGAATGATTCTATTGAAAGAAGTGATTAATTCTAAGACCAGAGAGAAGCCAATTCAAATCCAAGCACAAGCTGCTGTTGACATATTAAGAGGCAGCAGAGTCCCTCTGGGGTTTGCAGGTCCTTCTGAGCAGAGCAGTGAGAAAACTTGGTGTCTGCTGAAGGTGGCACAATGGTGTTCAGTATCATTTGTTTGATGTCATTATTTCCACGGCCTTACTATGCATTACTCTGCACCCTGCACCCTGCTGGCTGTTCTCTGAGCCAGAAAAACTACAAAATGGGGGAGGGGTGCCTGGGTGGCTCAGTTGGTTAAGTGTCTGACTTTAGCTCAGGTCATGATCTTGCAGTTCCTGAGTTCGAGCCCGGCATCAGGCTCCATGCTAATAGTGCAGAGCCTGCTTGGGATTTTGGGGCACTTGGGTGGCTCAGTCGGTTAAGTGTACAACTCTTGATGTTGGCTAAGTTGGTGAGTTTGAGACCCACATCGGGCTCTGCACTGACAATGCTAGAGCCTGCTTAGGATTCTCTCTCTCCCTCTCTCTCTGCCCTCCCCACACCCTTCCTTTCTTGCAAAAAATAAATAAACTGAAAAAAAATATTTCTTAATGTGTTAGGCTTAGTGAGACCATGTGGATAAAACAGTCTGTCCTTTTCTTCTGCATCTTGCCCAGCTAGCTCTAAGGCAAGAGGTTGTCAGATTTAAAGACCAAGGGACGGGTGCCTGGGTGGCTCAGTCTTCGGGTGGTATCAGACTTCAGCTCAGGTCATGATCTCACGGTTCATGGGTTCGAGCCCCACAACAGGCTATGCACCTGGAAACAGCTCGGAGCCTGGAGTGTGCTTCTGATTCTGTCTCTCTCTCTTTCTCTGTCCCTCCCCTGCTTGTGCATGCTTTTTCTCTCAAATATAAATAAATAAACATTTACAATAATAAATAAATAAATAAATAAATAAATACCAAGGGATGTTCTTCTTTTGGCATTAGCATTTGTGGTGTGATTAGCAGTTTGAGGGAAATAGCCTATATATACATTATAGGGGATTGATTAAGTAGATCATTGTCCAGCCAAACACAGGTTCAATATGCTGTTGCAGGAGATTATTAAATTACTTGAAAATATAAAAATGTTGTTAAGTGACAAAGAATCTTGCTATAAAAGAGTGCTAACTCTTGGACACTGTTTTTATTAAAATATGTGTAAATGGATGCACCAAAAAAGCTCTGAAATAGTACACACTTGGGTGCTAATAGTGGTTATCTCTAAGTGGTAGAACTACAGATCTTTGTTCTTATCTTTTTGGAAATCTCTTTTGCTTTTACAATAAATTTACAAGGTTATTCTTTTTGAAGGTTAGTTGAGCACTGTAGGAAAGAACGGAGAGGGTGAATTCTCTTCTTCTTCCTCTTCCTCTTTTCGAAAAGCATCTTGACCTACTTAATATTCAGTGATATTTAGAGTCAGAAAGTTCTGAGTCAAAATGTAGCATAGAATGTCAAGGGATTGCTTAATATCTGCTTCGTATTTTTTTTCTGGGATACTCAACACCCCTTCCCCCTTTACCCAGCTATGGGTTCATTGAGCAGGAACCAAAACAGATCACTGTTTTACTTTGTCCTCTGTTAATGTTCCCATAGTGTCTTTCTCGCCTCTGGTGGCATCAGGTCATGTAGACTCATTTGCTTTACTTGATCTTGCTGCTTTCAAATTGACATCAGTTTTTAAGACTAAACTTGGATTAAATTGAATGTCCTAATGGCCACACCTGATTACTAACCATAGAGAGAGAAGCTGCAGTAAACTTCCTTTATACTCAAGTTAAGAACAGTAATGTCAGAAGAAGCTCCATGGCTTTGGGCTGGTCCGCAAGGGCCCTTACCCCAGTGGATCTCAATCTTGGTTGTACATTAGCTACACCCACGCTGTTCTATGCAGTGGCCACAAGCCACAAGCCGTGGCTACCCAGCCACGGAAATGTAGCCAGGCTAATTGAGATGTGCTATAAATGTAAAGTACACACTTAATTTCAAAGACATAATACAAAAACAAAGAAAGTGAAATACCTCAATCATTGTGATATTGGTTATGTGTTGAAATAATAATATTTGAGACATACTATGTTAAGTAAAATATATAATTACTATTTTATTTATTATTTATCAACAATAAAACATTGTTATTGACATTATTAAAATTAATTTCACCTTCTTAAACATGACCACTAAAAAATGTAAAATTACACATGCAACTGCCATTATATTTTTATTGGGCAGTGCTCCATTTTAATTTACCTTTACAATTTTGAAGATCCCAACACCCCACACCACAGACTAGTTAAATCAGAATCTCTAGAGGTACAACCGAAAGCAGGTGGTTTCAACACTCTGCCAAGGTTGAGGAGTACTACCTTAGCCCCAGGCAGGGATGACTGCATAACATCTGGCATTATCACAGCATTTAATACATGCCAGGGACCTTTGCAGATGTGTTATGTATATTAACCAATTTACTGTTTGTATCAACCTTGTGAGGTATAGAAGCTATTATTGTTATTATCTTCATGTTAAGAGAAAAGGAAACTGAGTCCCAGAGAGGTTAAGAAACTTACTCAAGGTCACAAAGCCAGAAAGTGGTAGAGCTGGGCTTCTCTCCAAGAAGCTGGGCTCCAGGGACTCGCTCTAAACCTGTCTGCTACATAGTCTCTTTGAACATCAAGAAAACTCTGCTAGAGAAGTATGACTCATTTCAGCCCTCCACTAGAATTGGAAACAAGATTTAAAAGGCACAACAAAATTATAGGAATCAAATAATCATTTTGGGCATAACCAGTCATTATATACGGTGGTGTTTCCCAAAGTGTGGTCCCTAGACCAGAAACATCAGCATCATGTAGGAAATTATCAGAAACACACATTTTTGGCCCCACCCAGACTTATTGAATTAGAAACTCCAGGGTTGGGGCTTAGCACTCTGTATTTTAAAAATCCCTTTGGGTCACAGGTCAGCAAAGTTTTTCTGTCAAGGGTGAGGTAGTAATTACCCTTTCTGTAAAGGTTAGGTTTTGCAGGCTATATGTTCGTCTGGCCTCTGCAGGATAAAGGTATAGACAATATGGAAATGAATGGACATGGCTGTGTGCCAATAAAACTTTATTTATGGACACTGAAATGTAAATTTCATGTAACTTTCCTGTGTTGTTAAGTATTATTCTTCTTTTGATTTTTTTCTATCATTTAAAAATATAAAAACAATTCTAGCTCATGTCTGCTGAAAAACAGGCCATTAGGGGTATTTGGCCCACAGACTATAGCTTGCCAGTCCTGCTCTAGATGGTTCTGTTGCATGCTAAGTCTTGAGAATGACAGCTGTAAGGAAAATAAGGATTCAAGGCTCTTAGCCAGAATTGCCAAGCACAGGTATTCTCTGGCTTTCACTGTGGTGAACACTCACCTAAGGTTCAGGATAAATTAAGATTAGGTTACTTTGGAAAATGTAACAACTTTGCTTTAAACTATGCTTTTCCAGTGCCAACAAATTAGATTTGGGGCAAAGAAAGGGGCATAACAGGAAGACAAATGAGAGAGGCCAATGGCAGGGAAGAAAGAGAACTGTTTAAAAAGCCAAAGGAGCACCTGGCTGGCTCAGTCAATGGAGCATGTAACTCTTTATCTTGGGGTTGTGACCTCAAGCCCCACATTGGGTATAAAGATTACTTAAAAATAAAATCTTTAAAACAA